CAACAACCAACTTCAAGTGGAGTAGGGTTAGGAGCAGCGGCGCAAATGCCAGCTCTGCATGAGACAAGGACCAGGTGCCTTCAGGTGGCCACTCACCTGTTCGACTAGCTGGGGGCAGGAGGGGAAGGGTCGCAAGAGCCCTGGGTCCACACCAGCAGATAGAGCTAAGAGTGGGTACTCTGGGGAGTCTTGAAAGCGAGAGAGGACATGGGTAGGCGCGGAGGGAAGAGCCATTCTCCTCCTGAGCTGCAGGTTGTAGAGGCCAAAGCTGCCTGGCAAGATACATAGCATCCGGTTTCTGTGCGTTGTGCCTGGCTATCTCTACAGCCTTCTGCACCTCCACACCTGTATTTGCACAACCCTGAACTGGCAGCACCGGAACCGGTTGGTCGCTGTCCCAGGTGCTGAGCAGGAGCGCTGCCGCAGGGTGTGTGAGCGCGCTTGGCGCTGGTGTAGCTTCAGGCCTTAGGGTCAATACCAGGGCAGACCTGCTCCTGGCATTCCCGTGTCCCTTCTACCCTTGGCCTGGCATGCAGGTCTCTTCTCAGCTGAACTCTCCAGTCCTGGGTGAGCTTAGTGTCCCCCAAAGTGCTCAATGAGTACACTTTTTCCTCCAGTCAGCCCCGCATGCTGCTTAGCCCAGACAGGGCTCAAACAGAGCGTCCCTATTTGTTCTTGGCCACATCCCCTTCTGTCTCTTTGACAACCACCCCTTCTCAGTCCCCTCCTATTCCACCTGAATCCCCAAACCAGTCTCTTCCCTAATCTCTGGCCTCTCCCAGAGCTCCAGCACCTCTGCGGTGGGCTGAATGGTATTCCCCTAAAAAGGTAAGTTGTCTCCTCACTTAAGACCTAGTTGGACACGAGTTCTTCAGAGGTGATTGAGTTAAGGGGTCACAAGAATGAGCCCTTACCCAGTATACAGTGTCCTCATGAAAAGAGAAAGCGGGAGGACATGCATACCGTGAGCCTACCACGTGGCATGAAGGCACAGCTGCCACCCTGCAGGCCACCTGGAGCTGCAAGGGCTACTGGGCACCAGTGCTCAGCAGCAACCCGAGACACCTGACCTTGAGCTTACTGTTTCCACAACTATGATACCTCCCTGGGGTCTGGCCACCCAGCTAGCCACCCACTATTTGTAGACTGGTTGTCCACAAACACCACCCACCCCCAGCTCTAGCCCTCCATTTGAAACATTTCGGCAGTCTTCCTGACTTTCCAGGAAAAAGACAATCCAAGCCCTGGCACACGTGTCGGAGGTCTTTCCGGGCGGGGCCGGCCCAGTGCTCCTCGTCTTTCTCAGAAAGGCTGATAACAAGTGCTTCAGCCAGAAGACCTAGGTCCAGGGCAGGGGCCAGGGGGATGAAGGGGCAAAGATACAGAGAGACCCAAAAGCAAGATGGATGGGTGGGTGGCGTCACAGGCATTGGGAATTGGGGAAATCTGAAGAGCTTTATCAGTGGGGCGCAGGGGTGTCACTTCCCCCCAGTTCTGTTGTCAGGAACTCTGGGGAGACAGCTCTCTGGGTGCCTGGCTATAATCCATGCAGAAGAAAGGAGCAATGAATGCCAGTCCCATTCAGCTGAGTAAAGCTGGGCAGGTGTCCAGGCAGAGAATGGGAGGAGGCGGTAATTTAGGCCAGGGGCTCTCCAAACTGGGGAATCCGCACTCACCTACCTGTTCGATCTCCCGGCAGCGCCGACCTAGTGCTTGGTACTTCCTGCGATTTAGTTCCCGCTGGCGTCGCCGCCGGCCTCGGGCAGCCTCTTCCTCTTCCTCTCGTTCCCGGAGTCCCGAACCGCCCAAACCCCCAGCCACAAACTCTACTTCGGTCTCCAGCTCACTCTCTAGGATGTGACCACCGAACAGCGGAGGCAGGGCCAGCTCGGAGCCCGGCGGCGCCGAGAACTCTTCGAAGCCCACAGCTGCCATCGTCCTGGGAGGGTGGCAGGGGAGGGCGAGCTGGGTTCAGAGACCCGACACTCTGCTCTAGCTCCCTCGTCCCTCAGACCTGGGACTCCACTTCCAGCCCCGTCTCTCGCAGACCAGGCGTCCAGCCCCCGCCGCTCCCTCCCAGCCGGCAGTCCAACCCCCCAGCTTATTCCCAGGGCGCACGAGCGTTCGAACCCCGAACCCTTCTGGGACCCGGGAGCGCGGACCTCCAGAATCTTGCTCCCCAAGGGCTCGCGGAGATCTAGGCGCCACCTCTTCACTCAGACCCTGGAGTCCAGGCCTCCAACCTCCCTTCCCTCAGACCCGGGGGCCCAGGTCCCTGGCCTCCTGCCCGAGGGTGCGGGGCACTGCAGACCCCTGTCCCTGAGGACTCGGCGACAGCGGATGCAGAGCTGCAGCCCCCACCAGCCCTCGAGATGAAAGCAGCTCGTGGCGAAGTCGCACGGCCTTTGGGACTCGCTGCTCACCCCCACCACTTACCCCTCTCTCTGCTCCAGTTCCATCGCCCGGCGCCCTTGGCCGCAGGACGTTCAGCCTCGCCGCCTAAGCCCTAGGCTGTCGTCCGTAAAACTCTCTGTCCCATGAGGCTCCGCGGCCAGGCAGCCGCTACGCCTTCGGGGAACCGTAGTTTCCTGCTTCCGGCTCCGCTTGCCAGCCCCTCCCCCCCAGCCCCGGCTTCCAGGTCTCGCTCTGTCGTGGGACGCCCCCGCCGTCGTCTGAGTGGCCGCGCTCTTAATGCTTGACTCGACCCCCGGGCGTGGACGCCGGCGGCCCCCCCCGGCAGGCTCGGTTCTGGGCGGGCGGTGGCCGACAGCGCCTCCTCGCCCCTGCTCGCCCTTCTCTGCCTCGCGCCCGCTGCCAATAAAGTTGTTGTTGCAAGGCGGCCTCGGCGCGGGGCGGGGGCCAATCAGCGCGCAGCTCGGCCTCGCTCGCGGCGCGGGCTGAGGCGTCATCACTGAGCGCCGCCGCTGTCGGGACGCGGTTTTCCTAGAGACCGTCGGGCGCGGAGGGAAGAGGTGAGTGTGGGCCCGCGAGGGCAGGACGGAACCGTCTCCCCTGTGTCGGGAAGGCGGGTCCTCTTGCCTCGGTGGACGGCTCGGACGCCTTACGCGCGCAGACGGTGTGGGAGCCCCGGAACAAACGTCCCCGGCCCTCGTAGAGCTTTGCTTGGCGCCTGGGGGAGGAGAGAGGCTTAGGCTGACAGTTATTAAACAGCCGCACGTGGGGGAGCGCCCCAGCGTGCCGGTGTGTACCACCAAGATCCTACCTCGCCTGCGCTGGGGTGCTTGGGCCGGCAGCTGGCACGGCAGACGAGAGCCAGTAGAAAGTGCGAGGGAAGAAGTTGACGAGCTAAAGGAATGCGGGGCGGACTCATGGAGTCGTGGTAGAGGAGCGGCTGGAGGGGCTGGCTGGAACCAGGCAAGGTCATCCTAGCGTGGTGACAAGCGGTGCCTCTGCACGCTAGGGACAGCGAGCGTGAATTCCTTGCGGAAATTTTACCTTCGGGGGACACAGGCACTAAGCGAAGTGTTAGTAATTTGGAGACCCTGTGAAGCCTTGAGGCGAACTCAAGCACTAATAAGATGTGTTACAGTCCAAGAGTATCTAGCCTCGGGTCAGAGAGGACTCAAACTCAAGACATAATGGCTGGTCGGCATCAGCCACAACAGCTAGGCTACCTGAGTACCCCCAATAGAGAATGGGGTCAAGAGGCATGACTTGCCCACATAAGAAATACCATTCAGCCGTCGGGAAGGATGAAGTGTGCCACTTACAGCAAAGTGAAGTAGTTCGAGGGGATTACTCGGACTGAAGTAAGCAAGAAAGAGAGATACTCGGGAGCTTCACGTCTGTGAGTAATATAAACATAAAAGCAGATGAGCTGATAAAACAAGTAATTATAAACTAATAGACATTGATAATCTGCCTAACTGAGGTTTCTGAGGTGAAGAGAAAGGGAAGACAGAAGAGTCAAGTGGATATAAGGGGAGTTGGAGAGAGGAAAAGTAGAAAAGACAGTAGATGTAGCAGAATCTGTAGAATGACAGATTGAAACAGAATGTAAGAGCAAGGTTCATGGTGTGTGAACTATAGCTGTGTGTCTCTGTTATACTGGTGAGGAAGCTGACCACAGAAGGGGAGGGAGCGGGGAAGGGCTTGGCTCAGGGAGAGGAGAAGCCCAAGAAGGGGAAGAGTTCTTTAAGAAAAACAAAGCAGTGGGGAAGATAGAATAGTGGGGTACCCCTGTGGGACAGTGGTGCCAGCCTTTCCACGGGACTTGTGGGAAATACACTTGTACAGTCCTGGGGGTGGAAGGGAGGCGACTTGTGGTCAGCAGTGGCCTCCTGGGGTGCCGTAGACTACGAGACCCTACCTGGCTGCTCTGATGGCTCAGTCAGTCTTTTAGCATATCTGTCACCCATTTGGGGCCCAACAAGGGCGTGGGGGGTTAAGATTACGGGGTGGGAGAGAGATGTGAGCAGAAGTCACCTCTCCTAAAGGGATGTCTCCCTAGAGTCTCAGGGAGACGGGGCCTGTAGGACATGAATCTTGTCCAGGGCGTGGGTGTGACTGGTGACCGTCCAGGTCCTAGAAGGCATGTGTGTGGACTCTTCCAGCAGGTACCTGCCGAGCTCCTGTTACGCGCCAGGCACAGCTGGGAGCTGGAAGCCAAGGTCAACGGTTGCCTGTACCGATGGAGCCAGCTAGCTAGTGGGGCTGGCGGAGGGGGCCCAGGGCCTCCCGAGGGAGAACGAGAAGGAGCTTAGCGGGGACAGGGTTTGAGGGAAGCCCATTCTCTCCCACTCTGCAGGATGTCTCTGGCAGATGAGCTCCTGGCTGACCTGGAGGAGGCAGCTGATGAGGAGGAAGGGGGAAGCTATGGGGAGGAGGAAGAGGAGCCAACGATCGAAGATGTGCAGGAGGAAACACAGCTGGATCTCTCTGGGGACTCAGTCAAGAGCATTGCCAAGTTGTGGGACAGCAAGATGGTAAGCAGATCAGAAAGAAGCAGGGGTCATGGGGCCAGGGACATGGGCCAGCCCTAGGTTCTCACCCATCTCCTTAATCACCAGTTTGCCGAGATCATGATGAAGATCGAGGACTACATCAGTAAGCAAGCCAAGGCTTCAGAAGGTACTTACCCCTCTGCTTCCGCCTGCCTGGTCTCTTGACTCTGGCTGCCTGTGACCTTGAAAGTTGGGTCTGTCTTCCTCTCTGCCTTTTCCAGAGCCTTTTTTTTTTTCATCCCAACCCAGCCCCTGCCCCCTAAAAGTATCCCCCATCATTGCCCTGCGCTGAGCAGTTGTGACTGGATGCAACTCGAGGTTTCCCCGACCTCAGCGATTCATTGTCCAGTTAGAGGAGTTTCCCTACACTTGTAAACTGTGGTCCAGTTTCCACAGTGATGAGTCGCTGTGTTTTCTCGAGGTCAGTACCGTCTTTTCCTAATGCTTACCTAAAGAGGGAGGCCGCTGCTGCTGTGGCTGGGCGCCGGTGCTGTTTGGTAATCAGGAAGGACTGGCAGAGCACCGCCTGGACTTCTCCCTTCCACGTGACTCGCACTGGGTCGCATCTGGGACGTTCACGTCAGCTACGAGAGGGCGATCCTCTACTCCCCTCTTCGTCCTGCCCTTCCTGTCGCGATGGGGCTCTGGGACAAAACTGCTGGCAGCAGGAGGCTGTGGGGGGCCGTGTGGCTGGGGCGTTACCGGCGGTTTCCAGGTGACTCACTCTTGAAGTGATGCCATGGAGCTGAGCCGGCCCTGAGAAGGTGCAGGCATTGGTGCATCTAGGCCAGGCGCAGGACACTTGCTGAGCTGGGCTGGCTGTGAGGAGGGGCCAGGCCTGCTTCAGGGGCAGGAAGTCCCGGTCTCTGAGGGGGCCTTTGGAGCTAGAGTATACTGGCCAGGCTGCGTGCAGGGCCAGCGCATGGGAGAAAGAGGTGCCTTAGGAGGGGGTCATCTCACCTCAGTCCAGAGAGCTGTGGGGAGGCAGAAAGTGACATTGTCTGACGTCACCTAGAACATGGCAGAGGAGTTGAGAAGATGTCAAGACTGGGTGGCTGTTGAGTTTAATGGCGGTGGTGGGAGTGCGTGGGGAGTGAGCAGCTGCTGACCCTCCCTGGAGCTGGGGGAAGGTTCCTCATGCTCCTCATTCCCGGCAGCCCAGGAAACACTACTTGTCCTCGAGGGGCTTCTGGCATCTGGGGAGTTTGGGGAGCCAGGAGAGTGTTTAGTTTCAGGGCAAGAGAGGGTCCAGCCAGTGCGGTCCTAGGGACAGAGTGGAGGGAGGAATGGGGTGTTTGTGGCCATGTAGTATCTCCCCTGGCTGTCTCTTGAGCCTCTGCTCCCCCAGCCCCCCTGGCTGTGGACCCGGAAGGGGGTCTTAGACTCACCCTCACATCAGGCTTTCTTGCCCCCAGTGATGGGACCCGTGGAGGCAGCCCCGGAATACCGCGTCATTGTGGACGCCAACAACCTGACTGTGGAGATCGAGAATGAGCTGAGTGAGTGCGAGAAGGGCCGCAGAGCCAGCCTGCCGCCGCCCTTCACAGCCAGCTGCTGCCTCGCGGTGCGGGAGCGCCAGGCACCCTCAGGCCTTTCCTGGTGCCACCCCCAGGCCCTCCCGTTAGCTCAGGCCCAGCTGCCACTGCTGTCGCGTGGCTTGAGTCGGAAGGAGGTGTGCTTTCCTCTCCTGGAAAGTCTGGTGAGCGCTCCAGGCCGGTGTAGCGGCCTCAGGTGCCCCGGCTCCGTCTCGTTGAGCGGCCAGCGTCTCCCCATCGCACCAGCCACACGGGAGAGACGAGGAGAGCTTGTTCTCACGCTCGTGCGGCTGCATTTGGCAGCAGGGGTCGCCGAGAGTTGTAGCCTTATGCTGGGCGCCTAGCACCCCGCGCAAAGGTCACGGTTCAGTTAGTGAGGGAGGGGGAATGAAGCAGCAGAGTCGGCCTCATCGGCATCTCCCACCCCGTGCGCCCCAGACATCATCCATAAGTTCATCCGGGACAAGTACTCGAAGCGATTCCCCGAACTGGAGTCCCTGGTCCCCAACGCGCTGGATTACATCCGCACGGTCAAGGTGAGTGCAGAGAGGAGGGGAAGCTGGGAGGACTTTAGCGTAAGTGGAGGTAGGCAGCACCGGCTCGCAGCCCCGTCTCAGTTGGGGGACGTGGGGGAGCTCCCCTCGCTCAACTTTTGGCCAGAATGTTCCTGGTGGGGGTAGGATGGGGACAGAGGGCAGGTGGAAGAGCCAGAAGGAGTGATACCGGAGGCCGCAGGGCCGGACTGCCTGCCCAGGCCGGGAGGCACTGGGGGTCAGGAGGTGCGGGCCTGGCGGGAGGATTTCCAGCTCCGCCATCACTGGGCCTCAGCGTCTCTGGCAGGGTCAGAGCCCATTCAGGAAGCTTGAGAGGAGCCCCACCCACTTTCCCACCCACCCAGCCCTGCCCGAGCCAGTGCTTCTCCATGGGTCAGAGCAAGCGTTATCTGAAGCAGACCACAGGCCGACAGGGCAGCCACACAGATAGGGGAAGGTGGCTTGAGAGCCACGGTGGCCACAAACCATGGCCCCTTCAGGGATGAGAGCGAGGGGGTGGCAGAGATGAGACCAGATGCCTCTGACTCCCTCAGCGAGTATGGAGGGAGGTCAGGCCAAGGGGTGGAGGCGCCTCCTGAGTCCCGTGCCCTGCTCTGGCCACCCCACAGGAGCTGGGCAACAGCCTGGACAAGTGCAAGAACAACGAAAACCTGCAGCAGATCCTGACCAACGCCACCATCATGGTCGTCAGCGTCACGGCTTCCACCACCCAGGGGTGCGTACCCAGCAGGGAGAAAGTGGCCCTGGGGCCAGCCTCAGCCCCCATGCCAGCAGACGGTGATCTCGGGGCCTGGTGGCACGAGTCACTCTCAGGATGGTCTGCTTCACGTCCAGTGTGTGACAGGTGCCTCCTGCAAGCCAGGTGCCTTGCGGGGCCCGGGGGCCCCCAGAGAACGAGGACGCCTGGAGTCTGGTTTGAGGCTGGGCCGAGGAGGAGCCCAGACATAGGAATGTGTGTGTCCTACGCGCTGCCCACGGCTGGAACGAATGTGGCTAGGAGGGGGCGGAGGGAGGGAATTGGCTTGGCTCTCCGGGCCTCTGCCCGCGCCTGACGTCAGCGATCCCCGTGAACCCAGAGTGGAGGCTGTGGCGGGAGCTCTCCCTGGGCCGCCGCCTGTGCACTGACAGACATTGGCAGGGGTGCCGTCCTGGGGGCGGGCGCAGAATGTAGCAGGCTGGGGGTGCCCTCCCTCGACTCCTGTCTGGGAGGAAGCAGGTGTGTACTGAGGTGCAGGGCTGAGGGGCACGCGCCAGGCGGCTGTGGTGCGGGCTGGCGGGGTCCCGGGGAGGGGGGCGTTGCCAGCTCCCTAGTGGAGAAACAGAGCGGCCTTGGCTCGCCGCTGCTGGGCCATGACCTCGCGCGTTCCCATGGCCGCGCGGCCCTGTCCTGTGAGCGCCGTGGGAGCTGAGGGGCCGGGCCGGGCTTTGGGCTCAGCCCCTGGGCAGCAGCTGCGGCGGCCATCAGCCCCGTGTGCTGTCCCCCGCTCTCTGAGCGCAGGCCGACGGGGAGTCTGAGAAGTGCAGCGGCCGTCGCTAGGCCTGGCTGGCGGCAGCCGTGGTCCGTCCCCGACAGTCTCGGTGGTGGCCGAGCAGGACTCGAGGCTGAGGCCGAAGGAGGAGGGCTGGGCGGGGAGCTGGGAGGGGAGCGTGGGAAAGGAGTTCCGGGGAGAGGGGTTGCCTCCTGCAGCGGAGAGCAGGCCGGGCAGAGCCAGGCCAGACTGGCCCAGCAGCGCCCGGCTGCCCTCGCTTCCGGGCCTCAGGCCCTGTGTCCAGGCGCATGTGCAACACAGCAGGTGCACGGCCGCCCCACCATGGGCCAGGGTTGGGGGTGCCGTCCGCTCCAGCCTTTCCCCGCCCCACAGGCAGCAGCTGTCCGAGGAGGAGCTCGAGCGGCTGGAGGAGGCCTGTGACATGGCCCTGGAGCTGAACGCCTCCAAGCACCGCATCTACGAGTACGTGGAGTCCCGGATGTCCTTCATCGCGCCCAACCTCTCCATCATCATCGGGGCGTCCACAGCCGCCAAGATCATGGGTGAGGTGCTAGGCCCAGTGGAGCGCGTCCTCGGGTCCACAGTTGGGTGACCCCAGCGAGTCATCAGCCTTTTCTGTGTAATGCGCTTTGGCCCCACAGGCCCAGGCCCACCCCGCCACCTCCTGCAGATGGCGGAAGTCCGCCTCTCTGGACACAGGAAGGGTGCCCTGCCCTGGTTAGCCCTGGAACCCCAGGCACAGCCGGGGGCTACCAGGCTGCCGTGGAAGCTGACCACGAGCCTGGTGGGCGCCAGCTCTGCCCTGAGCCTCATTTCTCCCGCCTGGCAGTGTGGCAGGAGTAGGGCGGGTCCCCTGCTCCCCGGGCACTGTCTGCAGTCTCAAAGCCCCTTGGGCTTCTAGAGCTTTCCACCCCAAAAGATAGCTGGGGGAGTTTGGTCATTGCCCACAGCTCTGCCACCACGCCGTGCGGGGCTGCTCTTAAAGATTTGCTCGTGTGGTGAGACGGGCCCCAGTCCTCCAGAGCACCGGGCCTGCACACAGCAGTGCCCACAGGGAGAAACTCTGACCCGCCTGCGGCTCACAGGGAGCGCCGAGCCAGTCCACACCAGCTGCGGGTGGAGGCACTTATGCCCTGGCTAGTGAGAACGTAGCACCCACAGGACACAGCCCAGAGCAGGGACGTGCGGGCTGCCGACTCTGGCCGGGGTCCCTGTCACCCTTAGGCACTGGCTTCCCCGCCCTGAGCCCCGCTCCGAAGGGAGTCAGGAGCCCGCCCTCACGCGGCCTGCGAGGGTGCAGTACTCACTGAACCCAGACTGTGCCCACCTGTGGCCCCTCTCCCTCTGCCACTGCAGGCGTGGCCGGTGGCCTGACCAACCTGTCCAAGATGCCCGCCTGCAACATCATGCTGCTCGGAGCCCAGCGCAAGACACTGTCGGGCTTCTCGTCCACCTCCGTGCTGCCCCACACGGGCTACATTTACCACAGTGACATCGTGCAGTCCCTGCCCCCGGTGAGCCCCGGCTGGGTGCCGCCCCGCATCGCTGGGGACCGCAGTGCCCCCACATTTGCTAAGGCCGCACGCCTACCACGCCGCGTGCATGTCAGCTTTTCAGTCCAGGGTACCCCCAAACACGGCCCCGAGGTTCAGTGACCCGCCGGGGGCTCAGGAAGCCACGGTCTGTATCAGCCCGTTGCCCCTGCCAGGGAAGAGGCGGGTCAGCGTTCAGAAGACTGGCCCTGGCTTCCCGAGACCTCGCCGGCGTCCTGGCCCCCTCGCCAGGGCTCGGAGCCCAGCAGGCCCCGGTGCTCAGTGTCCTCTGCTGGGCTCAGTGGCTACCTGTGACGGGGCTGGGCGGGCCGATCCCTTGCACCCAGGTTGCCTCGGCCAGGGAAGATCAGTGCCCGGCGCCAGCCAGGGCCAGACTTTGGGCAAGGTTGAGTTCATTGTTGGGTCACCGCCGCTGCCGTTTCTGTGGCTGTGGGTCTTACACGCCTCTTGGTGTCTTCCAGCCGGCCCCTGTCAGTTCGCGATCCAGATGGGTAGCTCCTCTTTCATGACCGCTTAGCTCTTCTCCCCTGTGGCAGCATGGTTCTCATACCCACTAGTCTACGCGTTTAACATTCGTTACAAGGTGGCCGAAAGAAAGCCCGCATGATCTCACTCGGCCACCGCCGCGGCAGGAGCGGGCCGCGCCGCGGGCGGCGGGCGGGGGGCTCCCGTCCGCCCGCACGCTCAGCTCTGCCTCCCTTGCCCTGCTCCAGGACCTCCGGCGGAAGGCGGCCCGGCTGGTGGCCGCCAAGTGCACGCTGGCAGCCCGCGTGGACAGCTTCCACGAGAGCGCGGAGGGCAAGGTGAGGCGCTCGCGGCTGCCCGAGGGGCCGCTGGTCTGCCGGGAGACCCTTGAGCGTGCTGTGCCCGTGGCCGCCATCTCTGCGCCTCTCCCCGGACTCGTCCTGCTGCTGCGACAGCAAGTCCCGTAAACTTCGCAGCAGTCGGCTTTGTCACCGGACCATCCCTGGGTCACGCAGGGCGCCATTCCAGGGCTGAGATGAGGACGGGTCACCCTCAGCCCATGCTTGCTCAGCCCCTGCCTTCTGCAGTGGGCGGTCCTGGAGACAGCTGAGGCCTCTGTCCTGCGCGTAGTTGCTGTCCTGGTCCCCAGGCAGGCGCTGCCTCCGCACGCAGCGTCGCTCCGACGGCCTCCGCGCCAGGACACCGCAGGGGCGCGCTGGCTGTGCGGACGCAGACGGCCCGGGCCCGTGGCGCTGCCGTTGTCATGGAGAAGGCAGACGCGACACGCCCGTGGTACAGCGAGCAAACGCCAGACAGGAGCGTACGGTGTTGTCAGCAGGCAGTCGGAGGCTGAGGTAGCCGCGCGTCAGGGAGGCTTTGCTGAGCAAGCTCGGCTTGGGCTGACCTGGGTGAGGTTAGCAGATGCATCCCTTGACGGCCGGGCAGAGACTGACCCCGGCGGAGAAAACGGTCAGTGCTCAGGTCCTGAGGCCGAGGCGCAGCAAGCCCAGGAGAGGCAGTGGCGGGACGTGGGGCAGGTCGCCTGCAGCCCTGAGGGCCCAGGACAGCACGGCCGCGGGGGAGGTGCTGAGGTGGCGGTCCAGGCTCGCCCGAGGAAGTGCCAGGGAGCTCCTGGGGCGGGAGGGGGCAGTGAGGCCCTGCCGCTGAGCTGCGGGGGTTCGGGTGGGCGGGTGGGTGCTGTGCTGAGTGAGGCCCGAGGCTGTGCTGTGTCCAGCCCGCGCTCAGACACGCGCTCCCCCAGGTGGGCTACGAGCTGAAGGACGAGATCGAGCGCAAGTTCGACAAGTGGCAGGAGCCGCCACCCGTGAAGCAGGTGAAGCCACTGCCTGCGCCCCTGGATGGGCAGCGCAAGAAGCGAGGCGGCCGCCGGTGAGCACCCCAGGGGCTGCTAGGAAGGGGGGGGCTCGCACCCAGCCAGCTGACTGCGGTGTGCCTGCCCCAAGGTACCGCAAGATGAAGGAGCGGCTGGGGCTGACGGAGATCCGGAAGCAGGCCAACCGCATGAGCTTTGGAGAGGTCGGTGCCCGGCCCCTGCACGGAGCTTCGGGGGTCCTTCCTCGCCGCTGTGCCCACCTGCCTGCTGCCCTTGTCTTCCATCTTACCACCTGGCTCCCACGGTGCCATCACCCAGCCACCAGCCCCAAGGGCACTGTGCCACCCTCTGCGCTTCCCTCACCCCAGGCCATCGCAGGCCCCCTCGAGTCCCTTTCGCTCCCTTTGCCCCGCCCGTCATGCCCCTTCCCGAGCGGGACGCCCGCTGGCGTCGTCATCTGATGCCACTGTGTGGCCCCGCGGGACTAACTTAGTGCCCCTTACCCGTTCCGATTCGCGCGCGCACAGCACTCCCGTCTGTCGGCTCGGGGGGCAGAAACCGGTCCTGACTCCTCGCTGGGTCCCGCGTCACCCTGTGCACAGCTGGCCCGGGGGCCCGCTGGGCCTGGCGAGCGCCGCCCTCCAGGGACCGCACTGGTCCACCTGTGGGCCCAGCTGCTGGGTGAGCCTGGGCCTCGGGCTGCTCAAGACGGTGACTCACTGCAGACCGCCCCCCCAGATTGAGGAGGACGCCTACCAGGAGGACCTGGGCTTCAGCCTGGGACACCTGGGCAAGTCGGGCAGCGGGCGTGTGCGGCAGACACAGGTGAACGAAGCCACCAAAGCCAGGATTTCCAAGACACTGCAGGTACCGCTGTGGGCGCGGGGAGGGCGGCCGCGACCCGAGTGGCCAGCCCCTGACAGCGTGCGCCGCCCGCCCCACAGCGGACCCTGCAGAAGCAGAGTGTGGTGTATGGCGGCAAGTCCACCATTCGCGACCGCTCCTCGGGGACTGCCTCAAGTGTGGCCTTCACCCCACTCCAGGTACTCGCCGGCCCGCCCCCTCCCTGCTGTCTGGGCGGCCCTTCCCCCCCGAGCCCGCCGTGCGTGAACGGAGATGGCGCTCGAGGACACAGCTTGTTTCCAGGCACTGAGTGCTGGGTTAGCCAGAAGCAGAGGTGGGAAACGGCCGTGGCCGTGCGTCCCGCTGTCTGTGGGGTTGCGTCGGGCCCAGGCCGGGCATCCGGTCCTCCGTGTCCTCCTGAGTCGGCTGCGGCCCCCCCGGAGGCTCGGGATCCTTGCACCTACGGGTGGCGCCGGTGGTGGGGCCACCTGGGCCCGCGTGAGACGTCGGGCTAGAGGGGCTGGGAAGCCTCGTCCCACCGCTGAGCACATCGTGGAGCCAGGCCAGTTGTCACGCCTGCCCCCTCAGAGCTCACGCCCCGGGGAGCTGGTGTGGCCCACGGGAACGTGAGGGGTAACAGCTCCGTCACTGTCAGCAGTATTTTCTGAGCACCCAGACGGTCAAGGTCTGGGGACAGGACAGACAGCAGACAGTAAGCCCAGCCCTCGTGCGTTCAGTAGGCAGCTTTGGCGACTGGTCAGCGCCTCTTCTGTTGCCTGAGTCCCATCAAAAGGACCTGGGAGGTCCTGACTTCTCAGCTCTCCCACTGGGGGGGGAGCGGGTGGTTGCTAGCTCGGACCAGACTAGCTTTCCTCATCGCCCCATGTCCTTCACCTGCCCAGGGCCTGGAGATTGTGAATCCACAAGCTGCTGAGAAGAAGGTGGCTGAAGCCAACCAGAAGTATTTCTCCAGCATGGCCGAGTTCCTCAAGGTCAAGGGTGAGAAGAGTGGCATCATGTCCACCTGAGGGGCCGTGCCCCCCGCAGCTGCCCGCTGAAGGGACTTGGGGCCCTGCCCTTCTGGAGGGAGCAGGGTCCTGTGGGGCTGGAAGGTGTGGCCCAGAGACCTTCCCTACCGTCCACTTGTGCCAGGTCTGGCCACGGAGGCACCCGAAGGGGCCCAGCCTCCAGCGTCAAGACTGCTGCCCCGTTTGGGGTCCGGGCAGTTTCAGCACACTGTCTTTTTTAGCCGGGAGAGGAGATACTTTTGGAGAAAGTGCAATTAAAAGCACATTACTGGGATCTGTGCTTGGGAAGTGGTCATTTGTCAGAGGAGACAGAGCTTGGGTTCCTGATCCAGGCGGAATCTGGGCCAAGCCCTGCCTGGCACTTCCTCATTGGGGGTCCAAGGAAAAGTCCCCTCCTTCTGCAGACCCCTGGGCCAGCATCCACAATCCTGATGGCCAAGCTTTTAGCTGGCTGCTCCAAGCCCCGGCTTTTGAGACGGGGTGGTCAGGCCCCCGTCCAGGTCCCTACTTACCCCGTGTGGAGGATGCTCCCTCACCGTCAGTACTCTGCTCTTGTTTCTAATCAGTGTGCTCCCACCTGGGGCACCAAGCTCTGACCTGGGTATTGCAAACAGGCTCCCTTCCCCGCCAGCGTGAGCCGTGGGGAGGCCCGCGGAGACGTGTGCCTTGGGAAGTAGGCTCCTTCACTCCGGCGTAAAGCTTAGATGCAGAGGCAGGGGGCAGGGAACACTTCAGGCAGCCCCAGTGCTTGTCACGAGCCCACCTCCACCGGGACCCGGACATCCTGTGCTCTGAGCTGCGCTCACAGAGCCCCGGAGAGGGAGCCCTGGGCTACCCTGGGAGTGACCCACCCAGGGAAGGTGGTGCCTGCATCTCTGCCCGCCTCGCTTTCTGCTGGGCCTCTCAACTGCTGGACCTGCGTTGCCTGGCCGAGCTCTTGCTCTTTCTGTCCCTCTCTGGGGGGTCTTCTTCCCATCACCCCTTTGGGCTCTGTACTTCTCAGATCCACTCCCTCCATCAGCCCATATCTCTGGGCATCAGCTATCCTGAGTCTCCCTTCTCCCAGCTCAAGTTCCTGTTAATGGCCAGATGAGCCTACGTCATGTAACCTTCCTCACATTTACCACTGGCCTGTGGATCAGCCCTACTTAGAGGTTCCCTGGGCCCCTCCAGTGGGGCAGTAGGGAGACCTCAGGAAAGAATCTGAGTCACCTGGCGCTACAACTCTACCTATGCTTTGGACAGAGAGCCTCAAAATATGCCCCAGAATTTCTTGAAAGTTGTTAAAGTGATTGCCGGGCTCAGAATTTGATTGCTTCTCTGTGGTAGGACTCAGAAGAGTTTGTAACAGGTTTGCAGGGGTTGTGTGTGCAGCTGACCCAAGGACCACACTTTGAGACCCACTGCTCTAGAAAATTCTCTATCAGTAATTCTCAGATCACAGCATGTTGTATTCATCTTAAGATTTTAAGAAATTGTCATTTCCCACCCCTGGAAGCTGATTTCACTGGTCGAAAGCAAGAAAGTTCCTCCCTCCCTCAACAGGGAGCCACGTTTGGGAGTCAGTGCTCCAGATCGCTGTTACTCCAAGCGCGGTCCATTGTCACCCGGAAGATGCCAGAAGAGCACTACCCGGAGCCCCCAAAATCAGTCCATATTTTAGTAAATCCCTAGGGGCTCTCCAGGGCCCGCAATTGGAACAGCCAGCGCATCTTTAGGGCAATAACTGAAATGCCAGGGGAGCACAGGGGCACTGGGCACCTTGTGGGAACGCAGATCGGGAACTCACTTCTCTGAGTGCAAGCGACTGTCAGTCGCATGCTGACAGCAGTCTTCCGCCCTTGCCACAGGGTGCGGGTCTTACTCGGGTTTCTCTGTTTGCCCCACCTAGAGGAGGTGGGCACACCTGGTGTCCCGGCTTGACTGGGCCCCTGGGTGCATGCCTCCGTGGTTCATAAAGCAGTGCCTAGCAATAGCTAAACACCAGCCGTTCCTCTGCTATCTGCGTGCAGCCAGCCGGCCAGCAGGCACTGAACGCTTCCTTCCTGGTAAGCATTGGGCTGCGACGTCCAGAGGACACCGAAAACTACAATGATGGCCTATGTATGGACATAATTCTGAATGAACAGGGGTCTTGTGAGTATTCAGGACTTAACGTCAAGAAGTTTCTCCCCCAAAAGAAGTCAGAGCTGAGATCTGCAGGGTTAGGAGGCAGGAAACGGGTAGGTAGTTCCTGCACTTTCTGCAGCGTCTTGGGGGGGGGGGGTGGGAGGACCGGCACAGGAACCAGGGGATGCAGAGGGGAACCACTATAACCAGTCCCGAGCAGGATAGAAACGCCTCCCAAGCAATGGGGCCAGACGGGGTGCCAGAGACCTGAGGCGCAGTCTCGGGCCGACTTACTCGTGCAGAGAGCGAGCCCCAGATGTCCCAAACAGGCACGGAGGGAGCAGGCCCACCTGGCCTGAACCCAGACATGAAGGATGAGCCCAGTCCCAAGCCTCTGGTTACTCCGGTTTAACACTTCACCGATGGGTGCCGCCCACTCGCTACGCCGCGGGCAAGCTGGGAGGCAGGGTTACGGCCGCCGCGGACCCCAGGGAAAGGAGGGCCCGCCCCTGGCAGGGCCTGCTCTGATTGGCACGAGGCTCCGGCTCCGCCCCGCGCTGAAGGCACCTGTCTGGCGGCCATTAGGGACGCGGCCTCCAACGCCACTCTCCACGCCTTCCTCCGCTTTCCCCACCCACTTCCAAGATCAACCAATGGCTCAGGACAGAATAGGCCGCCCCCACGCACATGACCAATTAAAAATGGCCTTAAACTTGACGGGCGACTTCCCGCCCCTGATCAATTTAACTCCTCCCCCCCGCCAATTGGTTTAGGAGAGGGGGGCGGGACCATCCAATCAGCACAACTCAGGGCTGTTGACTGACGTGTAAGCCCTCGCGCTGGCGTGTTGTGCCCTGAGGCGGGAGGAGGAGGAGGAGGAGCGGAGACGAAAACCTGAGCCAATCCTGACATCCTGCGCGGGAGGCCAATCGAACGCCGCGCCTTGGAGCAATTGCCCAATCCGAGAGAGAGGGTCGGCCGCATCCGTGACAAGAACCAATAAGCTGCGTCCGAGGGGCTAGAGCGACGTGCGGCAGGAGCAATGAGAGGCTTATTTTCGGAACTGGGGGCGGGCCGGCGCCAGAGGCGAGAAGAGAGGAGGGAGGCCTCCTCCGCCGCCGCCATCTTGGACCGGGCCCGGTCAGCTTCCGCGGAGCCATCGGCAGACGCCGCGGCCTCCCTAGAGCCCCGACCCCGTCTTCAGAACCACCCCGGGCCCATTTATCCCCACCCCACTTCCGCTCCGCGCCGCTATCGCGATAGCACCCGGGCCTGGGGCGCGAGAAAAAGGCGGCGGGTGCTCGCCTCCCCCGCCTGTCGCGATACGCTCCTCAGCGGCGGCGCCAGCTCCTGTGGTGAGAGCGTCGGGCTCGACTGGGCCGG